GAGGGGGTGTTGGCAGCCGTACCTGGGATAGGGCCCAGCCCATCTTCACAGACCTCTGTTAGCTCACTGCTTTAAGCCAGTATGTTGCCCCCCAAGGCTTAGCACATCAGGTTGAGGTCTGGTCCCTCTCTCCCTTTCCTGTGGACGCATAAACGGTGCCCTCTCGGTGGTGCATTAGTGTCCTGTTACCTCCCAATGTCTTAGTCTCCCCCCACCCCTTTTTTTCCTTCTCCCCCGCCCCTCTTTCCCCCTTCTTTATGTTGGTATGCTGTATGCATCATTGAGCTTGGTCTGTCCCCTGCCTGTGTACCTGTCCCTCAACCTGTGAATTATGTATTAAATAGTTCTTCTGTTCCCACTGTTTTGATTGGACCGACCTCAGTGGACGCATCTTGTGAGAGGTGTTTTTATGTCCAGTTAACAAATCAAGATCTTGTTTGTGCACGCCCAGCAAGAAGCCATTGGATAGCTTCCTAGGGGATGGTGCGGTCCGGTTATGTCTCTCAGTCATCACACATGCTGTGTGAAGAGTGCTCTGGACGGGGAAGAGACGGTAGACCAGCCAGGTCGTGATTAGCAGTCCAGGGGAACGGTGGTGGAGGCGTAGCCCAGACCAGGGGCAACAGAAACGGAGCTCAGTTGGATGAACTCAAGGAATATCTTAGAATAAACAGGACATCCTCCTCAATAGATTAGATGGGGGGTGAAGGAGAGGAAAAAGACAAGAACGACCCTCGGCTTTCTGGCCTGCGGGGCTGGGTGAACAATTGAGACGAGGAGACAGAGGTATAAGTTGGAGGGGCGTGGGAGAAGGGACTTCAGTCTGCTTTGAGGATATGCAGCTGGAAATTCTTAGAAGTGGTCAAGGAGGGAGGTCAAGCAGACAAGGGAGTATATGACAGGAGGGCCCACAGGAAAGGTCTGGGCTGGGGAAGGGAAAACTGAGGCACGTACATGCATAGATGTTAGGTAAGCAGAGTACAGGAGCACCCTAGGGAGAAAGCCTGGAGAAAGAAGAGCACAAGTGCAGGAAGAAGTGACCGGCAAATGAGACTAACGAGAGGAGCTGACGACGGAGGAAGAAATCCGGACGTGCGGGATGTCGTAGGCACAAGAGAAGAGCGGCGATTGTAGAGACCTTTTTGTGGACTACCACGGACGCTGAGCTCTCTCCGTGCGTTGGGTCGCGCGCGGCGGGATAGAGACGGCCGTTTCTATGGGCAAGAAAGCAGGGAGCGCCGGCTAGCAGCATGAAGCCTCCCCAGGTCTGCTTTGAACGCCTGTCGTGAACCTTGTCTTCTCTCTCCGTTCCTCCGCAGAACAAAATCCAAGGCCTCGTCTTCGACTTCGTCACGCAACAAGCCTTTGACATTGTGATCATGATGCTCATCTGCCTTAACATGGTCACGATGATGGTGGAGACGGACACCCAGAGCAAGCAGATGGAGACCGTCCTCTACTGGGTCAACTTCGTCTTCGTCATCTTCTTCACCTGTGAGTGCGTGCTCAAGATGTTCGCCTTGAGACACTACTACTTCACGATCGGCTGGAACATCTTTGACTTCGTGGTCGTCATCCTGTCCATCGTGGGTGAGTGGGGCGGGCGGGCAGAGACCTGACTGACCTGATACGAGTCCAGGCTGGGTCTCCGGTGCGGCTCAGCCCCCACGGGCCCATGAAGTGTCCCGGGGCCTGCCTGGCAGGTTGCGTGGTCAACAGTTTCCCTGGGCCATTCATGGTAGTTTTAAGTTGTACGTTTTGTGCCGGGGAGAAGGGGCAGGTAGATTTGATTCTTGGGTTCAAAAAGGTTGCGGTCTCACAAGGAAGGTAAAAGAATCTTATTATTTGAAAATCTGGCAGGGAGTACAAATTAGAAAAACGAATGGTAAGAGATGTTTACATTGGGTATTAGTGACGTGATCTAGGGAAATGTGGCGGTGACGACAACGACAATGACATTGCTTGCTGAACTGTGGGCCAGGCTCTGTCTGAGAGCCTCGCCCCTGCATGATCTCATTAGCTCTATGACAGTGTAGGAAGTAAGCTATTAGTTTCTTGCCGTCAATGTATAGATGCTGTAGGTCACTCAACTAGGAGGTGGCCGAACTCAATCAGAGGTCAATCTCATGCCAAACTCCATGTTTCTAACAGTGACTGGTGTGTATTTTGCTTTAACCTAAAGACATGGATCAGGGGGTGTTGCCCTACGTGGCAGGCAGGCAGGCAGAAGAAAGTGCTGCCCTCTTGGTTACCCTCTCAAAACTTGTCCCAGAAGGGCATTTTGAAAGATGACACTGTGCCTTGCTTCTAGGTTAAGGTGACCAGATTTTAACTGGTAAAGCGGGACACCATTGATAAAACTCATATCCTGATGAAATAGCCACATGGCAGCCGAAAACCGTATACCTTAGCTTGTCGTGCATTCTTTCCAAAAATCGAGACTTTTTTAAAACACCGCGCGACACAGGAAAAATTGTTAAAAATCGGGACGTCTGGTCACCTTACTCTAGGTAGGTGTGGCCAGTAAGGTTGCAGAGCGAGTGCTGAGACCCAGGGGACCCATCTGGCTTAGAGCTGGGGTTGCCAGTCTACATGCATGGAAGGATTGTCTGTGGGCAGAACGCAGTCGTTGGCTCGTCCCTGCTGCCTTACCCTCCAAATTTTTCTCGTCCAGAATACACTAGTTCTTCAAAAGGCTTGTGGAAAATCCCAATACCTTTTCATTCCATTTTCTGAGGACTTCTGGATGCCCTCATGTTTCCTTAAGTGTGTCGATACATCGGACCTGAGTCCCACACAGTTCTCGTTCTCAGAGAATCAATGTACGTTGTTTGTTAAGACAGCCACCTGTGTTCTGCTGTTAGAGCAGCACATGACAACTAAGAATTTGAGGGCGAAAGTGGTTTGGGACACATGAACCCCTCAGAACCAGTGGTGGAGGGAAGGTGGGGTGGAAAGGGGGAACCGATCACAAGGATCTACATATAACCCCCTCCCTGGGGGACAGAAAACAGAAAAGTGGGTGAAGGGAGACATCAGACAGTGTACGACATGACAAAATAATAACTAATAAATTATCAAGGGTTCTTCTTAAGGGGGTGGGGAGGGAGGGGGAAAATGAGCTGATACCAAGGGCTCAAGTAGAAAGTAAATGTTTTGAGAATGAGGAGGGCAACAACTGTACAAATGTGCTTGACACAATGGATGGATGGATGAATTGTGATAAGAGTTGTACGAGCCCCCAAT